CAAGTCATTAGAGACTACAGAGATCATGTTGTCTTCAGTCAACGCCCTAGCCAGGAAGCAGATCCTGTGTCACAAGCAAGATACATTTATAATTATCAACTATATGTAGAATAAGATTTTTTAAACTTTTTGTTACATTGATAGAATTGAATAATACACTGATCTATTGCACAAGCATATCTATTATTCAGTGTTTTTGTTTATATATAAGAGATGCGGTTGTTGTAAAATGTGTATACATTCCAAATACATTTTTCACAGTATATTCTGTAAATCCATATCTCTTAATTTAATATGTGGGCTTTGTATCCCTCATAATGGTTTTGTTTAACTGCTCCTTCACACAATGCAAATTTATGAGCTGGCTGAGTCAGTACAAACAATGCACTCCCTAAGTGGTTGAAGTCTTTTCACAATAGTTGTAAAGCATGGAATCTTGAGTACATTTGGGGTTTGTTTAGACTTCTGGTTGGGAGGTGGGGAGGGGGAAAGGGGGAGAGGGAAAGACAGGTAAGGGGGAGGGCAAATTAAAAAACATTAAGCAAACAGGCAGATAGTGCAAACTTAACACACCCGCAAAGTAAATTCACCAAGTATTATACCATAAGACCCTGCGCCTCCACCCACGCAGCCCATATTCTATCAAATTTAGCTGGACAGGTACGGCTCATTTATATGTTGAAATGGAAACTGTCTACCCCGCCGATGATCTCGGGTTGGAAGTCGGCAATTAACCACATGCCGCCCAGCCACGGTATAGATACGGCGGCAGGGCGGCACGGCTGGGCAAAACCACATTTTAAAACGTGTTTTTTTGTAAACAGGTAGGGGGCGCACGCGAGGCGCGCCGCCACCCTACCTGTCCCACCGATCACAGTCGCGGATGTCAGTTGCCGGGTCACAGCCGGTCCTTACCGGCTATGTCCCGGTGATCGGCGGCAATCCCTGACAGAGAGCACAGCTGCAGTAGATGTGCTTTCTGTCAGTTCCCTGACAGCTCGAGGACAAGCTGATCGGGACAGAAGAGTTTCTCTCTCCCGATCAGCGGTTTTCCCTGCAGTACACACCCCCGCCCCCTAGTAAAACACTCCCCCTCACACAGATAACCCTTTCCCTGAAAAATAAACTTAACCCCCTCCTCCCCAGTGCCATTAGTACAGTGTCAGTGTTTTTTTTTTTTTTGCATTGATCACTGTATTGGTGTCACTGGGGATGTCAGTGACCCCAAGTCAGTACCCCCCAATGTCAGAATGTCCGCCGCAGTCCTGCCATAATTTGCTGATCGCCGCCATAAGTCACTGATTGCCGCCATAAGTCGCTGATCGCCGCCATTATTAGTATAAAAAAAAACCCTAAAAATCACAGTATCTTTCCATTTGTAAACGCTATAACTTTCACATAAACCAATTAATTTACACGTATTGGGTTTTTTTTTTAGCAAAGACATGTCGCAGAATGCATTTTGGCAGAAATTTATGACTAAATTTGATTTTTACATTTTTTTTTACTGGACATGTTTTATAGCAAAAAGTCCAAAATATTGTTTTTTTCCCTCAAAATTGTCAGCCTTTTTTTTTATAGCGCAAAAAATAAAAAAACCGCATAGGCAATCAACTACCACCAAAGAAAGCTCAATTTGTGGGAAAAAAAAGGATGTAAATTTTATTTATGTGCATGACCGCGCAATTGTACGTTAAACTAGCGCAGCGCTCTATAGCAAAAAAATGTCGTACATTGCAGTATCTATACCATAGTTTTTAGACACTATAACTTTCACACAAAGCAATCAATATACACTTATTGGGATTTGTTTTACCAAAAACGTAGCAGAATACATTTTGGCCTAAATTTATAACCAACTTTGAGTTTACTATAGTTTATATTTTTTATAGCTGAAAGTAAAAAATATTGTTTTTCTTCAAAATTTTTGGCCTTTTTTTGTTTATAGCGTGAAAAATAAAAAGCGCACAGATGATCAAATACCACCAAAAGAAAGCTCTATTTGTGTGAAAAAAAGGACGTAAATTTTGTTTGGGTGCAGCATTGCATGACCGCGCGATTATCAGTTGAATTAGTGCAGCGCCGAGTAGCAAAATGAGGCCTGGTCATTAAGGGGGGTAAATCCTCTGGAGGTCAAGTGGTTAATGGTGCACTGCCTCTGTATAAACTTACTTATGTAAGTTTATACAGAGGAAGTGCACCATTAATTCCCGACTTCCGACCCGAGATCATCGGTGTGGTAGACACTTTCCATTTCAACAAAATTTCTCTTCTAGCATAATAGAGAGAATAGAAGACAAACAATTTAGTATGCTTACACGCCTCCACAAGGTCCAGGAGACCCAACAACACAATCAGCAGGTCCATTGAAATAGACAGTTTACCAACAGCGTTAATAGTAGCCATTACTACGGCCCAACAGGGATGTAGCTTTGTGCATTCCCAAAACATATGGTGAAACGTTCCCACCGCAATATCACAACGAGGACACATTGCCGATCTTTCAGGATATATCGCAGCCAGTCACTGCGGTGTGTTTCACCTTCACACTCCTAATCCCCAAAGGACAACCCCAAATTAGCCCTTAAAAGAGTGCAGCCCCTATATCCTAACTATTTCATCACAAGAACTCGTGCCAATGAAGAGGTGGGGGTGCATGGCTGACATGGGAAGGCTCAAGGAAAGAAAAATTATAGTAAATATAACGTTACAATTTTCCATAATCCTGGACTTTCTCATACCACCCTCTTATGGGATGTACTAGTGTTAATCAGGAAAGGAAAATATATCAAATCACATGGGAATGATGCAGGAAATTTAAATAAATAAAGAGCAGCAGAAAAGACCAAGATCCCCAGTGAATCAAAAGATCCAAATCTGATTCCCAATTGGAATGACAAAAGAAAGTGATGGGTGTGCTCTAAATCACCATCCTACAGATTTTCTTCACAGGAACCTTGGCATAGCTTGCTCACAAGCAGGTATGAGTGAGTGCAAATTTCTGAAGTAGAAGAAAGACCCAGAGACATGTAGGCCGCCTTGATGGTTCTCATTATTCAAGTAAAAATTCTAGGTGGAGCTGCTGTACCTTTTCTAGAGGCAAAATGAAAAGACTTTCATCATGTCTGAAAGACAATGATCTCCCCAAATACTCAGACTGTGAAAAAGATAAAGCTTAGACCATTTCTGTTCATCTTCTGGTAGTTCTGATGAGATAAATGCTGACAGCTCTGTCCCCCAGTTGACATGTAATGGGGATGATAACTTAGCCAGAAGGTGGAAACTGGCCTCAGAATTATTCTATCAGGAAATCTACAACAGAATGGCTGCTTTGCAGAAAAGGCATGCAGCTCTAAAACTCACCTTGTTTAGACTATTGCATCTAGGATTCCCAACTTAAGAAGCCATATACAGGTGAAACTCGAAAAATTAGAATATCGTGCAAAAGTTCATTTATTTCAGTAATGCAACTTAAATGGTGAAACTAATATATGAGACTGTGGGATTACTGTGCTTGATTGGCCAGCAAACTCGCCTGACCTGAACCCCATAGAGAATCTATGGGGCATTGCCAAGAGAAAGATGAGAGACATGAGACCGAACAATGCAGAAGAGCTGAAGGCCGCTATTGAAGCATCCTGGTCTTCCATAACACCTCAGCAGTGCCACAGGCTGATAGCTTCCATGCCACACCGCATTGAGGCAGTAATTGCTGCAAAAGGGGCCAAACCAAGTACTGAGTACATATGCATACTTATACTTTTCATAGGTCCGATATTGTTCTATGTACAATCCTTGTTTTATTGATTGCATGTAATACTCTAATTTTCCGAGATTGTGGATTTGGGGTTTTCATGAGCTGTAAGCCATAATCCTCACAATGATGAAAAATCACGACTTGAACTATCTTTCTTTGCATGTAATGAGTCTATCTCATATATTAGTTTCACCTTTTAAGTTGCATTACTGAAATAAATGAACTTTTGCACGATATTCTAATTTTTTGAGTTTCACCTGTAGAACAAGTTCAAACCAGACCAAAGGAAGATACCTTAACCTCCCTGGCGGTATGATTATTTCAGATTTTTGGTGCTGAAAGCGGTACCATTTTTTTGCATGGAAATATGTATTTTTTTATTGTAGGCTGTAATTTTTAGGAAAAACTCACTGAAATCTGTTCGAACAAGAGTCTAGTAAACATCCCGGGTATGATAAAATTTGAAACACAAAATCATAAATTATAATTTAATAAATAATCATAAAAATAATAAAAAATTTTAATTCAATAATATAATCAAACCAAAAACACTGAAATGTGAAATAGAGCGCCAAGTTCGCACATTGCCGAGCTCAGTCGCAAAATCGTTTTCAGTTTCTGATGACGAATTTCCCCCACGAATCATTATCACTCAATTCTGTAAGTGGTTCTGATTTACTATCGCTGTTCTCTAGCTGGTCTAAACCGCTTTTGACCTAAAGGGACACTTTTTGGACGCCATGGACATTTCTCAGTTTCCAGGCAGAAAGAACACAAAATGCAGGCAGGGCGCAGGACAAAGCACTAGGGACAATATGTATGTGAAATAGGTTGAAACAGCAATGTTTTACTGTGTAAAATGAAAAAAAAAAAGACATTTTTTAAAATTTTTAAATTTCCCGCCGCCGGCGGCGGCGGCGCCCGTACGTCCCGACGTCACAGGGACAGGACACAGAAGCCGGATGCCGGCATCGGCCGGAGGAGATGGCCGGGGACGCTGCAGGGGACACATCGTGGGAGCGCAGGGTAAGGTAAGTGAAGAACACATGCCGGAGCAGCGCCGCATTGGTATTCCCGAGTGTAGCTCGGGGTTACCGCTTTTGGTACTGAAATGTTACCCCGAGCTACACTCGGGAATACCGCCAGGGAGGTTAACCACCTCCCGCCCGCCATATAGTCCAATGATGGGCGCATCGGATCACCGATCCACGGAAAGAGCCGAAGATGTCGGCTCGGTCATGTGATCAGCTGTGTCCAATCACAGCTGATCACATGTAAACAGGGAAATGCCGGTTATCTGCATTTCTCTCTTCTCGAGCTGTCACGCTGAAAGAGGAGAGGAGAGCCGGTAATCGGCATTCCGCGGAGGGGACATGTACACTGATCATCAGTGTGCCCTGATGATCAGTGTAGCCCCAGAAGTGCCACCTGTCAGTGTCCATCAGTGCCAGCTGTCAGTGCTGCTCAGTGCCACCTGCCAGTGCCACATCAATGCCACATATCTGAGCTGCCTTTCAGTGTCACCCATCAGTGCCAGTCAGTGCCACCTATCAATGCCAATCAGTGCCACCTATCAGTGCTGCCTATCAGTGCCGCCAATCAGTTCCAGTCAGTGCCGCCTATCAGTGCCAGTCAGTGCCGCCTATCAGGGCCAGTCAGTGCCACCTAACAGTGCCAGTCAGTGCCGCCTATCAGTGCCATATATCAGTACTGCCTTTCAGTGCCCATCAGTGATGCCTGTCAATGCCCATCAGTGTCACCTACTAGTGCCTCCTCATCAGTGCCCATCAGTGCCACCTATCAGTGTCCATCAGTGCATCTTATCAGTGGCCATCACTACAGCCTCATTAGCGCACATCAGTGAAGGAGAAAAATCACTTATTTACAAAATTTTATAACAAAAACTAAAACTTTTTTTTTCAACATTTTCTGTGGTTTTTGGTTTGTTTAAGAAAAAATAAAAATCCCAGAGGTGATTAAATACCACCAAAATAAAGCTCTATCTGTAAAAAAAAATGATAAAAATTTCATATGGGTACAGTGTTGCATGACTGCGCAATTGTCATTCAAAGTGTGACAGCGCTGAGAGCTGGAAATTGGCCTGGGAAGGAAGGGGGTATAAGTGCCCAGTAGTCAAGCAGTTAAATGCCTTTAAGGCCAAAGTTAAGTATCACTTGAAAAAGAGAAGTCTTCTTGGAGGTTGAATCTTTGCTATCAGCTTTATAAACTGCACAGCTAGTGGTTGTACCACCCATTTTAAGCTAGACAATGCAGACAGAGCCAAGACATCGTTCCTTAAGGTATTATGAATGAAGCCCATGTCCAGACCCTGCTGCAGGAAGTCCAGAGTTTTTTTTTAACCAAAGGAGAGGAAAGAGAAACTGTATTTGCTATGCCAAAGGTCACAACATTCTCCCAGACCCACTTGTAGGCAAATTCGGTGAGGTCCTTCTCATCATCAACAGGATGCCAGGGTGGTGACCGTGCTAATGTGGACCCTCCAGCCACACTGTAAGAGATAGCCAAGGAAAGGCAGTGGGTGTACCTGAGAGGTTTAGACTAACAGCGGGTCTTTTGGTAGGCAACTGCACAATGGAGTAGGTTAGACCTGGGTGCAGAATCTGCAAAGCAGGAACCACACTAGATAACACTGGAAAAGGTAAGACCAGGGAAAGGAGATCAGGATTACACTGGAATGGATAGGACCTGGGACTTGGATCAGGATTCGACAAAATATGAGAGCAGGTGGTGTGGAATGCCCCAGGGCACAGAGTCTAAAAGCCAGCTGGTATTCACCAGGGACCACCTCACAAGGGTTTGGACTTGCGTGCTGACCCCATGTTGCAACTCTCGGTTTCCCCCTGCTCAAGCGCTACAGACCATGAGTCAGGAAGACACCATAACAGTAAGGGCAGGCAGCAGACACAGATAACCAGGAACTAGCCAGAGGTCAGGGCAGGCAGCAGACACAAATAATCAGGGACAAGTTAGAGGTCAGGGTAGGTAGTGGACAAGGATAACCAGGAAAAAAAGCCAGAGGATGGTACACAAAAAATCAATGCAGACTGGCTAGCAGGAAGACGCTCACAAAGGCATTGCAACTAGCTTGAGAAGTGTTGCATGGGTATCAAGCCAAGAGCTGCACTGAGTTGGAAAGTGCTGCTCAGAAAGGGAAGGTCACACCAATTGGCTGTGACCATGAAAGGGAAAAGATTGCCGATATTGGAGCTGCCAATACAGGTAGAAGCCCGCCATAACGGATGTGGCCCTGACAGGGAGAATGCATCTCTGAACGATTGTGGCCAATACTCCCCATAGAACAAGAAAGCCGCATTGATGGATGCAACCACAAAATCTGGAAATGTGTTCAGTCACGCACCATACTCTAGATGCAGATTGCATGCCGGAAAACTGCATTTAAGCAGTGCTGACTTAGGGTTTGAATTACCTTCTCAGGTATCCTCTGATGTTCTAGGCACTGCATTAGGTTCAGATGACTTAGATTTGGATATAAGTACTGTCCCTGTGTCAAGAAGTCTTCTTCTAGAAACAGAGATTGGAGGGACCAGCTTCATGTGCAACAGTAGGGGAAACCAAGGCCCCTTGGCCAGTATAGTGAGATTCTACTCCTGAACCTGTGCATCTTGAGTTAGAGCCCCTGACTTGAAGTATGAAAAGAACTGCTGAAGTCTGGTAATTGGAGGTTGTTGCCATCAGGTCCACTTCTGGCACCCCTCACATTCTGAATATTGGCTACAGGTACTGACAATTCAGAGACCATGCATTATGGTCTTGGAACCAACAGCTTAACCTCTACATTGATGAAAAGATGACAAGCTGTTATGTCCAGCTGGTAAACATCCGCCCATGCAAGGATATTTGCACTTATCTGGAGCAAATTCAGTGCCCTTATGCTGCCCTGTTTACCATATACTGTATGACACCACTCTCTTGTCAAAGAGAATTTCAATACTCAAAGGTCTTCAAGGCCCCCAAGGTGGCTCTTAGCTCAAGTTGCTTGAAACTAGGTGGCATCATATAAACTCAATGGAAATGACACTGCTGACCCATGCAGAGAGCCCCTCAACCCCTGCCACTGGCATCCATTGTCAGAGTGACCAAATTGTCCTGCTGCAAATGCCTGCCAGGAGATAGGTTAAACTCCACTCTCCACCATCTCAAAGACTGGCAAATTCCAGGTGGAAGGGGAATCTGCTGGTCCACTGAGAAGCAATTCCATTGATGAAGAAAGCTGACCTGAAAGGCTCTCCTGTATCATCTGACCCATGACACCACTGGTATGGTCAATGTTAAAAGACTCTGGAACGTCATACAATCTTTTGCTGTCATCTGCAGAAGTTTCATGGCTGTCGCTGCCTTCCTTTCAACACCCCATAACTAACAGCAGGTAAACCCTTTCCTAGACAGAGTCGAAGCAGACTCCCAAATAGTCTAAGACTTTAAAAGGAGACAGACTGTGAGTTTCTCTGAGACACTAACTGTTGCAACTAGTTCACATCCTGCTAAGGTACAAGTCTTTACTAAACTTTGGTCTGGTGATCCAGGTTCTTCATTGCTTAACCAAAAGAAACATGTATGGTGCCATTTGTTGACTGACCTTTCAACTTTCATAACCATAGAGCAAGAGAGCAAGTTACATATAAGGGTATATGTCTAGAGGTAAACACACATACATACTGTATATGAAGTATTTGTAAAAATTACCATTATTAGCATTTTGTAGCATTACTGGCACTGCAAATACATAAGTACCTGCAGTGTGACCTAATAAAGCTCACATTTCCACCAGTTTGGTGTTTATGAGTATGCCTCTAGCTAGCCCAAATATGGCGTCAGCTATCTGTACAGGAACATCCAGGTCTTCCAAAGTATAATATTTGCTTTGATATTTATATTATTGGCTGAGAAAAATCAGGCACTGATATGTACAGTGCCCACTGTAATCTACATCTGTGACCCCATCAAGCAGAGATGAAAACAAAGTTCAATGCCTTTTGCCATCCATGGTGTTAACTACATATAATGACTACTATAGTGTATCAAAAATCGATGCCCCTGATGCCGGTTAGCATGGATGGAGAATGTAGGCAAGGTTTCACTCATAGCTAGTTCTTAGAAAGACAACTCCCATGGACTTCCAGAGGCCAATGTAAAATATATTTCCCTTTACTCTATTTATATGCACTTTCATTTCTCATAATTCAGCTGAATTGCCACAAGTTCAGTGACATTTTATTACTGACTGTAAACTTGTTTTATTGCAGGTATAATACAAGGGACTAATGGCCCTTCTGGCACGTCCTTGCAGTTTTCTGGTCTTTCCTTGCATTGATAAGCAGTTCAAGGCCAAAGTAGATTTTTTTTATTTCTGTAGTGAATTTTTATTCCACCCTCTCTCACCAATTCTGAGGAAAATAATATTTTAAAAAGTGCAATAGTTAAAGCCCAACTCATGTCTTTTTTTTTTTTTTCATTTTGGTCAAAACAGAGAAGGGTTTGAGGTTCACTTTTTGCCTGTTGGATACATTTCTCCTCAACAGGAGACGGGACAGGAAGTGATGGAATATCTCTTCAACAGGAACAAAGATGAAATACATTTTTACCCCTTAAGTCCTGGAAATCGGTTTAAATCAGCACAGGGACAGCTTCTGCATTGTGTTTACAATGGAAAGATGGTGAAGTAAAGAGTGATGTCTGAGCACTTCCTTCTAGTACAGGGGCTCATGAAGAGCTGTTGCAGCTCTGTCCAGTCTCTAATTGCAGCAGCAGATCTCTGATGTTGTGATCTATTGTTTGCTGATTGCAGTGGCAATAGATCAATATTAGAATCAATCTGATGGTAGCAAGCTGCATGGGGAGGTCTGGATCAGGTTTTCACTGACCAGATCCAGACCTCCCATGAGGAAAAAAGTGTAAAGAAAGTGTAAAACATAGAAATAGTAACAGTGGCAAAAAACACACAAACAATTCTAGTGTCTTGCGTTGTTATTGAATACACCCATTCACAGTACTGGAGGAAAAAGTAAATGAACTCTATGGGTTAATGGCTAGTCAAACCTTCCTTGACAGCAATGGCTTCAAGCAAGCTCTTTCAGTAGTTCTGGATCAGACATTCAGGATGAATATTTGACCATTCTGCTTTACAAAACTGCTTCAGCTCAGACACATTTGTAGGATGTCTGGTGTGAACAGCTCTCTTGTGGTCATGCTACAGCATTTCTATGGGGTTAGGGTCTGGGCACTGACTGGACCACTCCAAAAAGAGCATTATCTTTTTCTGAAGCTTTGATTTGATATTGGTAAGCTGTGCCCTTTTTGTGCAATACTTAGTGCTAAGTATTCTTCCTAAACAATCCAACTTTTGGTGAACATTTTCCCAGTAGCGTTGTGTTTTGCCAAGGTGCTTTTTGGTAAACTTCAGCCATGCAGCAATGTTTTTCTTGAAGAGCAGCAGCTTCCATCATGGTGTTCTGCCATGGACACTCTCTGCCTGTTCAAAAACATATGTATGGTAGACTCATGAACAGAGAAGTTTGCCAGTTCCAATGATGTCTTCAAGCATTTAGATGTTAGTCATGGGTTCTTCTTTACCTCATTGTGGATT